TTAGCGTTTTGAAAAGGCTATCTACGGGCAGCGTTTAGCGTTAGCGTTTTCAAAGTGATCTGCACCGTTAAAATTTTATCCAAAACACCAACGCTAATCTCTAACGCTATTCCCAAATAGGCCCGCAGTATCCAAAAAAGTTATTTTTGATAGATGTCCCAAAATTATTCTTTATAGGCTCCGCTCCGTTCAACTTCTTTTTCTGATCTGATCTGATTTTAATAAGTTCTGATCTGATCTGATCTGATTGGATCTGATCTGATTTGATCTGATTTGATCTGATCTGATGTGATTGGATCTGATCTGATCTGGTATGATCTGATCTGATTAATTATGATTTAATTTAAAATTTCAAATCAATAATTTGATTTGACTTTATAATAAAGTTTGAAAATTGTAATGATAATTCATATTATAATATAATCAATATTTTTTATTTAATGATTATTTTTTAATAAAATAAAATTAGTTAATTCATATATTAGAATAATTAGAATATTGATTTTTAGAAATTAGAATAATTATTTTTTTGTGAAATTAGAATATTAATTTAATATTTTAATAATTACTTCATATATACATTAGAATAAATATTGAATTTAGATATACATTAAAAGGTAATTAAATTTAGATAATCAATATATAGAAGAGATAGTATTTTTATTAAAATATCTCATCCTTATAAAAGATCAAAACTTTAGAAACTCAAATTACAAGTAGCAATAAAAATATATTTTAAAAGTAGAATTAGATTGACATTGTCAATGTATTTTAAAACTAATTTTTCCGACGTCTAATAATTAAGGATTACTTTCTCAGTTTTCTATTTAACCTATTTCTAAAGTTTAATCTTTTTCATTTTTAAGAACAATAATAATAATAATAATAGTAATAATGATAATAATAATAATAATAATAATAATAATAATAATAATAATAATAATTCTTGATGGGATCTGATTTTAATAAGTCCAGATTAGATCAGATCTAATCTGATTGGATCTGATCTGATCTGATTGAATCTGATCTGATCTGATTAGATCTGATTTGATCTGATCTAATCTGATTCGATCTGATCTGATCTTAATAAGAATAAGAAAAAATAAGAAAAAACAAGTTGAACGGAACGGGGCCTTAGTTATAAAAAATAACAAACGGATTTTTTTTTAAATTTCTTCCGACATCGATACAAAAAATCCTTATTCTTCCTTGTTTTCGTGAAAAAATGTTATCCAAAAAAACGTTTGATTTTTTGATGCCCTAAAAAGCAGCGCGCCTTAATTATCAGCCCACCTCATGACTACATTTAATTTTACCTTTTCTATAAGAGTTGTTTTTTAATCGATCTTTTTTTACATTTCATTTTTCCAATTGTTTCTCTTTTATTTCCTTTTTATTTTTTTATTTTCTTATTATATTTGAAAATGAAAACTGAAAATTTTCAACTTAAGACAGGTGAAGTGTGTGTGTGTGTCTATATATATATATACATATATACATATATATATATATATATATATATATATATATATGATAATTAATTTTTATGTCAGTCAATTTTTCTTTCAAGCAAAAACAATTTTGAAGTTTTAAATTTTTTTAAAGAATAGTTTTATAAAAGGAATTTAAAAATTAATAGAAAATTGAAAAGTGTTGTTTGGAAATTAAGCATAAAAGCCTCCTCCTTATTAGAAAAGTAAATGGAAAATAGTCAGATGGGGTATTATATCTGCGTAACATCTTGAACCTATAGAAATTTTAAAAATAAGTTTTGAAAATGGTAGAGATATTGGAACCTATTTTTCAAACCACGAAGGTACTAGTAGAGGATCCAGAGTCTCAAGGGAGCGGTGTCAATAGTGATAGAGTTGGGCTTTGGGGCACAAAGAGAGTTTGGGATCGAACAACGCGCCTAACCTTTTTTTACAAACGCACCAAAGACTGACAAAAATTTAAGAGTAATTTCATAATTGGTCCTTTATAACAGTGGGGTTTCCATATTTAGTCATCTATTATCAAATATTACCCCTGTAGTCCTTTTTTTAAGGGTGTCTTTCCACAAATGGTCCTTTTTTTTATCTTTTGCCATGTTGGTGTTAATTTAAAGACTAAAAGTATAATTTGACATCAACATTATGTCTAGTGACGTGTTCTAATATTGATTAAGCGGATAACACAAAAATAATGACTATGATTGTGGGCTAGGATTCCGACGAAAGACCACATTTGTAGACTCTGTTTGTAGTAGAAAGCGACTGTAATTCATAAACAACGCAAACGGAACAGCCTTTGGAATTGTGTATGACAAAAAATATATATTATCATTATTAAATTACACTTTTAGCCCTCAAATTAAAACTAACATGATAGAAGATCAAAAAAGGACTATTTGCAGAAAGATACCCATAAAAGAAGGACCATTGGGGTAATATTTGATAATAAAGAACTAAATAGGGAAATTCCCCTGTTATAAAGGACTAATTATGGAATTTACTCAAAAATTAATAAATCTAATCTCAAACTCTCCAACTCCTTTTCTTTCTTGTCCCAGTGACAAAAAATTAATAAATCTAATCTCAAATCGGGCACCAAGGTTCAAGTGACATTGGACCTCAATATCATGGGATGACCCGGGGTGCTCTGGTGCCCCATTCGTAAAATTAACGGTTCCTACCCCTCTAACCCTCCCCCGGTAAACCCCCCACCCGGCCCCGACCCGAACATACCCCTCCACCCCCTTCAATTGCACCACACAAGTTGATTTTGACTTTAGAATCAAAATTTGACTCTAAAGTCAAAATCAACTTGTGGGATGCAATTGAAGGGGATGGAGGGGTGTGTTCGGGTCGGGGCCTGGTGGGTGGGGGATTTACCGGGGGGTTAGAGGGGGTAGGAACCGTCAATTTTACAAACGGGGCACCGGAGCGCCTCCGGATCATCCCATGACATTGAGGTCCAATGTTACTTGAACCTTCCCCTATATTGAAAAACCAATTTTACCCTAGTAATTCTTAACCTAATTAATTATTACATCATACTTTTTTTTACTAATAATCTAACAATCATATATACTCCCTCCGTCCCTTAAAAAAGTTCATGTTTTGACTTTTTGAGGATTTAAGGGGAGTGTATTTTGGTGTTGACTTTCCAAAAATGCCCCTTGATGTGATGAATAAAGTAGGATGAAATGGATAGATTAATAGAGAAAAAAAATGTGATGTGATAAGTAGGTTAAGAATTAGTAAGGGTAAAAGTGACTTTTTAAAAGGAAATGGGAAGTGTTTTTTTGGACGGATGAAAAAAGAAAGGGAAACTTTTTTACGGGACGGAGGAAGTATCTGTTAATTCTTACTCTACCTATCAAATTATTCTGTTCACTAATAATCTACTCATCATATCTTAATTTTACTTTTCACATCAAAAATATTTTTAGAAAATCAATGCAGAAATATCTCTTTTTTAAAAAAAATTACTCCCTTCGTCCCGGAAAACATGAGAGTTTTGATTTTGAAGAGGGATTTAAGGGCAGTGTATTTTGGTATTGAATTTCCAAAAATATCCTTTGATGTGATGGGTAAAAGTAAGATTTGATGGATAGATTATTAGTAAAAAGGTATGATGTGATAGATAGGGTATGAAAAGTAAGGGATAAAAGTGACTTTTTAATATAAATGAGAAGTGTTTTTTTGGGACGGATGAAAAAAGAAAGAAGAAATATTTTCTGGGACAGAGAGAGTATATAAAAAATTTATAAAAATTACATTGTACCTAATATAGTTTTAAAAAAAATTCATTGTTGTCGGTTGACCCAACTGGATCCCCGGGGAAAGCACTAGATCTATTTGGCCAATATATAGTACAACGGGATGTAGTGTATTTTCCTTCTATAGAAATCACCTAAAATAGGACTAAAACATAAAAAAAATATCAAAATAGGACTTTCATATTTTTTTCCCGAAATAGGACTTTGCACTGTGGTAATGTGGCACTGTACATTTGCACAATACTATATTTTTTTCGGTAATGTATAAGACCATGTTTGATAATGTAACTCCTATTTCAGAAATAAAAACATGAAAGTCATATTTTAGTATATTTTTAATGTTTTAATCCTCTTTTACTCTTTCTCCCTTCCTTATATTCAACGAACACATCAATTCATTTTGCATACTTTTTAGTTTAGTTTTACAATCTCTGACTATTGTGCTATACTCGTAAATCTACAAACCATATACATATATAATGACCATTATGTATTCTTCAAAGTAGCATGAGTATATTTTGTACTTCCTCCATCCCATGTTTCCAATTTGACTTTTAAAAATTTTAAGTGATGGTCGAATGGATAATTTTGTGTTGACTTTCCAAAAATATCATTGATGTGATGTGTAAAAGTAAGATATGATTGGTTGATTATTAGTAAAAAAGAAAGATATGATCAATATGTTAACAATTAGTAGGGGTAAAAATGATTTTTTTAATATAAAAGGAAATAATTTTGTGAGACGAGAAAAAAAGGAGTTTTTAGGACGAAGATAGTACTATTCTGTAATGTACATATTTAGAATATATACTAAAATAAATAAATTAAATATGAAAAATGCGTATTTTATTATATTAATCACCCTAAATAGGACGAAAACATAGAGAAAAGTACCAAAATAGGATTTTCATGTTTTTTTTCCGAAATAGGATTTGACACTGTGGTAATGTGGTTGTAATGTGGCACTGTACATGTGCACATTACTATACTGTTTGGTAATGTACATGATCATGTTTGGTAATGTAAATGTATTTTAAGTCCTATTTCGAGAATAAAAATATGGAAGTGTTATTTTGGTATATTTTCATTGTTTTAGTCCTACTTTGGTCTTTCTTCACTTTCCATCATCTCCGATGGAGCCAAAATTTTACCATTTTTTGGCTTTAGAGTGTGATGGAATAAATCAAAATGGATCTCTAAACTGCCTGCACTTCTTTAATTAATGAAGTAGCAGTTAGTCAAGCAATGCAACTTTCGACGTTGAGCCGGGGGTCTCTTTGGAAACAGCCTCTCTACTTTCGAGTAGGGGTAAGGTCTGCGTACACACACCCTCCCCAGACCCTACTCTTGTGGGATTTAACTGGGTTGTTGTTGTTGTTTGGTCTTTCTCCAATTTTATTGTTCAAAAATGACTTTTTGCACCGATGTGCAAAAAACACTATACATCGGATATTTAATAGTCTCTCCGTCCCAAAAACTTCTTCCCCTTTCATTTCTTGTCTCACAAAATTCTTCCATTTTCTTTAAAAAAACTCACTTTTACCCCTACTAATTAACCTACCTACCACATAATACTTTTTTACTAATAACCTACTCATCACATAATGGCATTTTTTAGAAAGTTAACACAAAAAAATTCCCCCTTAAATCTTCTAAAAGTCAAAATGAGAATATCTCTATAAAAGAGAGAATTAAAGAACTCCATCTACATATATTAATACTCCGTATATGTATCAAGTATTACATTATCATCCATCGAAGAATTAGTTGTGATCGGAGAGAGAAGGAGAGATGGCGGAGGAAGTGAAAAACAAGCAGGTTATACTGAAAAATTACGTGACCGGAATTCCGAAAGAGTCGGACATGGAAATCCGCACAACCACCGTTAAGCTAGAGCTCCCGCCGGATTCCGACGGCGGCGTATTAGTCAAGAATCTCTACCTCTCATGCGATCCGTACATGCGGACTCGCATGCATCTTTCCGACGGCGGCTATCTTGGTGTGGATAGCGCATTCAAACCCGGCTCCGTACGTAATTCACCACACTTTATTATTATTATTATTATTATTATTATTATTATTATTATTATTATTATTTTGATCATCACAATCATTATTTTTAATGTGTGATTGAATTAAATAAATTGATAAAAATACTTTCAGTCAAATCTAACCGGAAAAATGTTACTCCCTTTGTCTCAGAGTATTTGTCAATTTTAATTTTTTCGGTCAAACTTAATAAATTTTGATCCCAAAGTAAATAAAAATGATATTAGACATTGATATAAATTTTTTTTTATTAGATTTATTATATAAAATATTTTTAAAATATTATCTTATCTCATTAATATACAATACATATTTTATTTAACTACAGATCAAAAATTAAAAATGATTGACTGAAAAAAGATCAAAACTAGATAAATATTCTGGGACGGACGTAACACATAGTATCATCGATCGATGAGTACAATCAAGAACAATTGAGTAAATTTATATTTGATGATGATGACATACTTGGTATATTTGTGCGTGCAGCCAATAGAGGGTTTGGGTGTGGCTAGAATAGTAGAATCGGGGAGCCCGGGGTTTAAAAAAGGAGATTTGGTGTGGGGAATCACAGGATGGGAGGAGTACAGTGTCATGAATGTGAAGACGCTCTTTAAGATCCATCACACAGATGTTCCACTTTCATATTACACTGGAATTCTAGGTATCTTTAAATATGTACTCCGTATGTAGGTCTTCTACTCCATTTTCTCATGTGTTGTCAGACTTCTATTCCAGTGCTTCAATCGTTTTCTTCATAGCTAAGACCGAATGTAGATTTTTGACAGCCTCAGAGAAGAAAATTGGCTCAACATCTGCACTTTTAGCTACCAAAAAATATGTATGCGAAGCAGAAAAGTTTTCAGATCAGAGTTAACCAAATTTGTACTCCCTCCGTCCCAAAAAGATTTACACGTTTTGACTAAAGTTGAAATTAAGGGAAGGATAATTTTATGTTGACTTTCCAAAAATACCCTTGATGTGATGTGTAAATGTAGGATGTGATGTGTAGATTATTAGAAAAAAAGGTAGGATGTGACAGGTAGGGTTTTAAAAAGTAAGGGGTAAAAGTGGTTTTTTAATAGAAATGGGCAGGAGATTGTGGGACGCAATTTTTTTAAAAGGTGTAAATCTTTTTGGGACGGAGAGAGTAATACAATGAGCAATACCTAAAGATATGATGGTTTGGAGGAACCCATTGAAGGACTTTGAATGGTGTGAATGACAAAATCACGTAACCGTGTGGAGAAAGACATTCTCTTTCACCTCAATGCAAGGGTTTGTGGTGGGAAAGGGTGTGAGTATCAATGGTTGGAGGGACAAGATCAGGGGTTACATTAGGTTTGGACGGTCCACCGTGCTTTGTCACGGTCCATGGTCATCAGGACCGTCTTGGAAATATCTGCGAGTTGTGTTGTGGACGGTCGACCATTGGGTGGGCGACGATCGAGGTCATCCACCACTTGGGTTGATTTTATGGTTCAGAGGGCTCCTGTGATGCCGGTAAACTATTAGGAGTGGAACGGTCAATTGGTTTGACCTTTACGACAAAGAATTTAGTGTTGAGTTTTTATCAAAATCAACTAATGGTTCAGGTTTGGGTGATGTAGCTGAGTTATTAGAGTTTAGAACAAAAAGGAAATGATGTTCAAAGATTTTAACATCCCCACTTAAAAATATTATGATGGTTTCTAAGTCGAGAAGATGCCAACCCTTTTGTTTAAGCGGATAACTAAGGAATACACAACGACGAGAACGACTAGCATACTTGTCGCTTCCATGAGATTGATTATGGGTATAGGCAAGGTACCCGAGCACTCATATATAGTTATATGAAGGTGGTTGTTTAAACAATATGGAATTTGGTGTGTTTCCATTGAGTAAGGTAGATAGTGTGTGATTTATGAGATAACCTGCAATAAGAATGCAGTCACCCTAAAATTTGAGAGATAGATTGGCTTGGAAACGGAGTGCATGGGCTAAATTCAGAACATGACAATGTTTTCAAACTCACTTTTTTGTGTGGTACTATCTAACACAAGAAGACAAAAAAGAATTCCATAACTATCATAGATGGATTTCAAATAGGTGAATTCCGTATAGTTGTCATTGCGTACGACCTTAACTTGTTTGTTAAATTGACATTAAGCCATATGAAGGAAATTGCAAAGAACAGGTGCTTCATATTTGTGATTTAGTAAATATACCCACAGAGCTTGAGAAAAATCATCAACAATAATTAAGAAATATCCAGCTCTGTACGATACCCACCCCACAAATCACAATGAATAAATGAAAAATGAGTATCAAATTTATTTAAACTAACTGAGAAAGAGTCATGACATTGTTTTGACTAAAAACTTGCATCGCAAGGTAAGTCATAAATATTGGTCTTAATCGAAGATAAATGGAGAAGTAGTTTGACGACAGTATGAGAAGGATGAACTAAATGCTGGTGCCAAATGTCCAGATCACTCACCTCCTTTAGAGTGCAAACTTTCTCGTCCACAACATTCTTAAAATAGTAAAATCCCTTAACTTGTTCACTTATTTCAATCACCATCTTTGAGATACCGTGTTTTATAACATAAGTTTTATCATTAAATTGAAAAATTAATTTCTTCTTCTCAAGAAGCTGAGAGACAGATACATAATTAAAATTAAGTTGAGGCACAAAAAAAAACATTCGCCAAGGTTATCAGATTATTAAAAAACTCTCCCCCCCTGTTCAACCAAGGCATGTTCGCCATTTGGCAGACCAATGGAACACTATTTTATTTTTTCCATATTTACCAAGCATCTTTTATCTCGGTTATGAGTTAACTCGTACCACTATCAATTATCAAAGATGTGTTTAGCATGCCTGAGAATTTGTTTTCAGTACTCGATTCTTTGTCATTCAAAAGTACCATCATAACGTTTCATTGGTTGGTTGTGTGAGGCGAAAGATTTGATTGGTTAAACTCGCCCCGTAAGGTATAGTACTATCACCGACACCATCCCCATTAAAAAATTTGGTTATATTGTGCATCGAAATAGATTCGTCAATAGCGCAATTTTTTGTTTTAGTTAACCAATCTAGATTTTTTAGAATATCACTACTGGTTAATCAGTTTCTAAATTTTGATTCTATGCATTCATTTTTAATCGGTCACTGCTTGTATTTTTCTCTCTCTTACTTTTAATTCACTACCAAATGTACACATTTTTGATTAAATTCTATTGGATAAATTGTGACTCCAATTAATTAGTATAAAAAACACAATCTGTTATAAATATTCAATCTTAACATCCTAAATTTTTTTAATATAGGAATGCCTGGTGCCACGGCGTATTTTGGATTGCACGAGGTTGGTGCTCCAAAAAAAGGCGAGTCTGTGTTTGTTTCAGCAGCGTCTGGGGCAGTGGGTCAACTTGTGGGACAATTCGCCAAGATCTTAGGTTGTCATGTGGTTGGTAGTGCTGGATCCAAGCAAAAGGTATGTTGAATCAATATAGTACTATGCATAACCTTCGCTTGAAGCACAAGTATAGACGAATAGTTTATTTTTTCAATCAAATTTAATTAATTTTTATTATAAAATAAATAAAAATTGACTGAAAAAGTCAAACAATATGGAATTCTAGGACAGTGGAAGTAATGCATTTACGACCTTCTCAAATTATTTGTCACTCATATACATCCGAATGCATATTCCATGATAGTTATTAATAATACTCACTCTCTCTCTCCGATAAAAAGATTCTACCTTTGAATTGGCACGGGAATTTAGAGAAATGCAATTGTTTGGTTGAAACTGATGTAGAAGAGAGAAATTATATGGGTCACAAAATTGTTTCTAAAATTGAAAAGTGAAACCTTTTTTGGACAAACGAAAAAGAAAATATAGAACTTTTATGGGTAAAAGTCTTACTAGGTCATTATACTTTTTCAAAAGTGCTCCCCAAGACCCTAAATTATTTTAAATACTTGTCTGGTCCATATACTTTCGAACTAGTGTACCAATAGTCACTTCAGTGACTTTTTCATCCAAAACTCTAGCATACCGTCCAATTTTTTCTTTAAAAAAATTTGAAAAAATGTAGGGAACTAGTAAGACTTTTACCCTTGTATTTTATATGGAGTGTTGGCAAATTACCAAGTAATATTAGGAATACTCGAGATATTCTAGTTCTAGTAGAAATAGAATTATGGGTCTTTGGATTAATTAGCTTACTTGTTGACCAAGTTGAGTTAACACTATATATATCATAGCCAAGATTTGGGTTTTTGATAAGTGAGATATATAGATTATAAGAGAGTTACTGTATTAGGTTTTGAGTCATATTTTCTCAATATAATAAAAGTGAGTTCTCAAATTATGTGTTTTACTTAGTGTTAAACTCAAGAATTGGTATTGGAGCAAGGTTGTTCAACACCAGCAAAAATTGCCAGAAGATTGTCCCCTATAGTTTCCAAACTCGTGCAGTAACAACCAGATCTGAAGTTTGAGCCACAACCGGTGAAAGACCAAGCCTTAGGCGCCGCTTGTTCAATCGGAGTCGCACACAGAGGGGAGACCACCGCTGGTATGGAGATATGGTGCGCGTAGCAGCAGCAAGGGAGCACACAGACATAACACCGCCACTTTCGCGCATATACAGAGCAGACGCTGCCGTACAGCGCAGCACCTCCGAAAAGTACCACCATCATCGTGCACAATTGTTTGAAAGAAGAATAAAAATAGCAGCCTCTCAAACTGGTCAGCCGAAAAAAGGCAGCCTCTCAACTTCAGCCGGAAAAAAGATAGGGTCTTGACCAAGAAAAAACCTACTACTGCATTTTTATTAAACAAGAAGGTTTATTTGAATTGCTCTAAACTCAAGTATTGGATCCCGTTAGACCACTCTTGAAGTACAGTTGATTCAAGAAAAATATGACAAAATCCGAGACACCACAACCAAAAGTGAAGGGAGTTGGACTTACATTTGTCCAATGTCCCATGCTATGTGCTACAAACTAGTCTGTATGGGCCATGAGAATGAACGTCGTCCTAAGGGTTCACAAGATTTGGGAATGATTGAACCAAACTTAGATGATGTCGAGAAGAATGATATGGTAACGTCACTTTTGTTTCAATCAATTCTAAAAAGTCTAATATTGCAAATAGGCAAGCAAGAGACTTCGAAGGATCTGCGGGATGCAATCAAAACCCGCTACTTGGGTGTTGAGCGGGTTAGAGAAGCTCATATCAAGACCCTAAATGCAGAAGTTTGATAATATGAAGACTCCTGATTTAGAGACAATTGATGACTTTGCTGAGAAATAAGCAAGTTTGGCCTCAAAATCTATAGCTCTAGGAGAAGAGATCAAAGAGTAAAAGATGGTAAAGAATTTTACAAGGGCTCTCCGTCGTTCTAAATACATCCATATGCTCTCCTCCTTGGACAATTCTTGGATTTGAACAAACTAGGATTTCAAGAAACCATAGGACGGTTAAAAGCCTACGAAGAGTGAATCAAGCAAGAGGATATAGAAACATAAAGTAAACTATTGTTCTCTAATCGTGAAAGCTCTCGATCTCGAAGGGGAGAAAACGGGTCGAGAGGATAATGTCGATACAACAAAGGTCGTGGAAGAGACCATGACCAGGATGATGATGACCAAGATAAGAGTCAATACCGAGATGGTCAAGATCATGTGTCAAAGCGAACTGGTCAAATAAGAACCAATGAACTTCATGAGGGAAGAAAGGATAGATCAAATGTTCAGTGCTATCGGTGTGATAAATTCTGTCACTTTAAATCGGTGTGTCCGAGGCATATGAAGAAACAAGAAGAACCTAATTTAGTTGAAACTGGTGTGTTGGATCCATCTTTGTTTATGATAAGATGTGATCAAGGGACAATTTTTATAAATGAAGGAGTGATTCTGAAGCGTTTCGAGATTGAACCAAAGGAGAAAGACATTTGGTATCTCGACAACGGAGCATCGAATCACATGACGGGTAGTAAAGCTTACTTCTTTGAACTTAATGAACGTGTCATGGGAAAGGTAAATCTTGGAGATGGATCTTGTATTGACATATGGGGAAAGGGATCAGTGTTAGTTTAAGGGAAGGGGAGCACTGCCTGTTGACTGATGTGTACTACATGCCCAACCTGCAAAGCAACATCATAAGTCTTGGTCAAGCAATGGAAGGTGGATGTGACATTCACATCAAATGCGATTTGCTAACCGTTCATTATGATACATGGAAGCTTATGGTGAAGGTGACAAGGACCAAAACCTGGTTGTCTAAGACCAATCTCAATATAGTAAGTCTCGGTACACAAGTTAATGTTAACTTAGGAGTTTAATTTCTAAGTGATGAGCTCTCCAAATCAAGATGCACCTTAACTTTCCAAGTCAAGCACGCTTAACTTTGGAGTTTCTAAGTGATGAGCTCTCCAAATCAAGATGCACCTTGTTGGTATGAGTAGTACTGCCAATCTTTTTGAGCCTTTTCTTTCCCTAATCAATTTACTTTCAAATCAGGGTATTACGTTCACCCCCACTTAGGAATGCAACGTCCTCGTTGCATCCTTTTTTTTCAAACCCCTAAACCTTCCCTGGTATGTGAACTAAGCTTGTTGGCCCGTCCTTTTTCGACCGAGCACACCGCCGGTCTATGTTCACTCCAGTCGATTGTCTGATAGCATGGCCTCACCGACCAGTCTCGACGAGCATGCTTAACAGCCGATGTCTATTATCCCTCTCTTACTCTCTAAAATATCTATTATCTCTCTCTCTCTCCCAAAAATATCATGTGTGTGATCAAAGAATGGGAAACTTTCATTTGTCTCTATTTTTTCTAGAGATCGAGATCATGAAAAGTGACATAGAAGCAGAGAACGATCCAAAAAAAGAAAGGAAAGAAACTCCTCGCCCTTGTTCCAAAGGCCAAAACTCTCACCCGAAAAAACTTAGCAAACGTAATCTCAAGCTCATTCGTCATGCAACAAAGATCTGGTTCTCTACCTCCAAAGGCTATCCTCACAAAACTGCTACCTCCGGCTCAGTTTCAGTACATGCGCTCCAAGCTGCCTCTTGTTACCGATGATCAGCTTGCGGGGGATATTAAGAATATTAGATAATAGGAAATAAATATTATATTTAATTCAATTCCTTATTTATTGTTTCCTAATTGTATTGTTACTATAATTCTTCTCCTACTATGATTAGAACTCTCGCTTGTAATCCCTATATATAGGGAGGTATCCTCCAGTATTCAATAAACAATCGTTCTCAAATTGTATCATGTTAGACAACAATAACAATTATAATATTAGTTATGGTAGATCTAGTATTTCAATGAGTTTTCTTTCTCTATTTCTTGTTGTGTAAGAAGTCCGTCCTATATATATATTCTATGATGTTCTCCATAATTTAATGAGCAATATTATTTTTCCAGTATATCAACATGGTATCCGAGCTGATTACTTGACCATACTTGCCGAAGTAATCCGTTAGGGTTTCTTCGTTGGCAGCGTGCGACACGCCGCCAACGAAGAGCTAGCTTGGTGGTGTTATTCTCCTCTTGTATGGTTTTGTTAGGCTCCATTACAATATTAGTTTTTCCCTAACTTATGGAGAGATATGATTATTATATTGTTGTGAAGATAGGTAACTTCCAAATATATAGCAGCCAGTGATGAGGAATTATTCTACTCCGCATTAAATTTACATAACAATCAATTTCTTATTTCTAGAGTGTGCATATACGGAGAAAATAAACATAACAATCAATTTTTTATTTCTTGAGTATCATATCCTATGTGCATTCTACCACAATTATATGATTATTTGTTTCCACTAGTGTATCACCCGTGCGATGCACGGGAATATAGTACGTACATAATTCGGGATGAATAGGGAAAATATAAATTGTCATCGATGAAAGCAGTCAAATCATAATTGATGATAAGTGCTAAACTGTCGTTGTTGGGATTGGAAAAAAAATTAGATTTGAAAAGATCATATTAGATTATTTATCATTTATAGAGTAAGTAAAATCCACATAATCTTTTAATTCTATGTTGACTTGCATAGATTTTATTATATTTTATTGGTAGGATTTTAAAAGATTGTGTTTAGATTGCTCAAAATCCAAATAATAATAACCTGAAACCAAAAAAAAATTACCTTGAAAAAAATTTAGCAAAAAAAAAGATAAAAACCAAAAATTGAACACAGAAAAAATTGATCAAAATAATTATGGAGCATAAAATTTACCGTGAAATTTTTTGAGTAAATTCCTAAAATAGTCCTTTATAATAAGGTATTTTCCCAAATCAGTCCTCAATAAGTTTTAATTACCTATGTGGTCCTCTATAATTGAGATTTATTCCCAAGATGGTCCTTCCTAAATAAAGTTACTCAAATGAGGATTAATTGAGGGCATTTGGGTATTTTTTATCCGCTAAATTTAGAATTAATTCTTAAAATGATCATTTATAATGAAGTGCTTTCCCAAAATGGTTTTTCTAATTAAATATGTGTATTTGATTTTAAATTTAAAAGATTTTTTCTAAGTTTTAAATAATTCATGAATTATTTATAGTCAATGTATTTTTTTAAATTTTACATTTAGTTGTACAGAAATGACTATTTCGAAAATATACTTTAAATTTCGATGATCAAAATACCAAAACATCTCACAATTAGTCATCATTTGAGTAACATTATTTACAAAGGACTATATTGGGAATATATCTCAATTATAAAGGACCATATAGGTAATTAAAACTTATTGAGGACTAAATTGAGAAAATCCCTTATTATAAAGGACCATTTTAGGAATTTACTCAAAATTTTTTAACAAAGCAAAATCAAAAGGCAAAAACTTGAACAAAAAGCAAAAACTAAAAAAAATATACAAACTGTAGAAACAAATTGAACAAAACCAAAAACAATTATATTGAAAGCAAAATCAAACAAAAACCAAAGCAAAAACTGTTAAAATATACATATAAATGTTAACAAGGTTTGTTGGGTGTAAATTGTCTTTTCCGTGTGTCCATTTCGTAGTGAAAGAGATGTTGATGAGTCTGCCTAGATATTTGCCATGTGGAGTAGCATCAATTCTAGCCATTGGATTGCTCATTCTTAGCGGGAAGATTAAAGAATGAAATTGGTCTTAATTTTCATACAGCTTTTATATATATAGTAGAAGTAGCTAGTACGTGTTATTTTGATATTTACTAAAGACCTTATTAATTTTTAATGGTTAGGTTGAAATGTTGAAGAACAAGTTTGGGTATGATGATGCATTTAACTACAAAGAAGAGAAGGACTTGAGTGCCACTTTGAAAAGGTTAGTTTTATGAACTATTATATGCCTCACACATTATTTGTTCAATTTTCACTTTTTTCAATAAATCAGACTCAACTTTTGACCTATAATTATATAAAAACTATATGGTATATCAATTAGATAAAACAATATTTTGAAAATATTTTACATACTGAATAATCTAAAAAATAATTTTGTATCAATATCTAATCCGAATTATATTTAATTAACGGTCAAAGTTTATCAATTTTGACAATAAAATTCAAAACTAGACAAATACTTTGAGACAGAGATAATATTTAGTAATTAATGACTAATAAACTAATGGTTTTTCTTTGGTGTCTCTATAAGTGAAATNCTTTTGACCTATAATTATATAAAAACTATATGGTATATCAATTAGATAAAACAATATTTTGAAAATATTTTACATACTGAATAATCTAAAAAATAATTTTGTATCAATATCTAATCCGAATTATATTTAATTAACGGTCAAAGTTTATCAATTTTGACAATAAAATTCAAAACTAGACAAATACTTTGAGACAGAGATAATATTTAGTAATTAATGACTAATAAACTAATTGTTTTTCTTTGGTGTCTTTATAAGTGAAATGATATGCAGACCCCCCCCCCCCCATTAATTGTGTGATATTTATGTTTCTATAGACACTTGATAGTACATAACCTTAATTAATAATTTTCTTTAATTTTTTCAAAAACTGTAAAATAATCTCAATTTTATTCCATGTTTATATTAAAAAACTTTAGTTTCGTGCAATTGTTTATAAAATCTTTTTTTATGAATTTTTACACCTACAATCAAATAAATAGAATTTTAAATAAAGACGGTCAAACCTGAAATGGAAAGTTTAATTCAAATCTATTATTAATTACTCACGAGGTTTGACCGGCTTTATTTAAAATTTAATTTATTTGATTACAGGTGTAAAATTCAAAAATTATTTTAATAAATGTAAAAATTACATATACATTTTTAAAGACAAGAGATGACACGACTATTTAATATTGTGAAATGAGTAGTGAAAATAAACAAATAGTGAATAAAGTTTGATTATGTGAATAGCGTCTAGGCAATTCAATTCCGAACGGGGGAGTACTATTTTATTTCATAATTTCTAATTATTTTAGGTTTAGATAGCTATCATTTTATTTAATTATTATATAATGAACTCATTATTTTAGTTTTCAAGATAATTGTAATTATTTTTCCCAATCAAATATTTAATTAATCATCAATAATTAATTATTTTATTCAATTGTTATTTGATTACCTTATAATTTTAGTAATGAAAAATACCATTATTTAGACATAATTGTATGGCTTAATTGAATAAAGTTATATTTACTCAAATAATTACACATTAATTACCATTTTCAATTCCTACAAAAGATTTATTAACTTGTCCCACTCAAAATAAAGAAATGGGTATATTTATTGTTAATCAGATGCTTCCCCAAAGGAATCGATATTTACTTCGAAAACGTGGGAGGAAAGATGCTAGATGCAGTGCTTCTCAACATGAATCTCCACGGGCGCATTATCGTATGCGGAATGATCTCACAATACAATCAAACGAAAGGACTTGAAGGCATTCATAATCTGATGACTCTCATCAGTAAAAGGATTCGCATGGAAGGGTTTATGGTTGGTGACTACTATCATCTCTACCCTAAATTTCTTGAAACGGTTCGTTCGTATATTAAAGAAGGGAAGATTGCGTATGTGGAAGACATTGCAGAAGGTCTTGAGAGTGCTCCTAACGCTCTGATCAAGATCTTTACTGGCGCAAACGTTGGGAAGCAACTTGTGGTTGTTTCTCACGAATAACTTTTATTTTTATTTTCGGAATCCATGGCCGGTCCCGTGAATGAATAATATCTGCTAGTTTCATTCCCAACGTTATTTGTGTTTTTTATTCTAAGAATAACTCAGCACGGTGTTAATGTACTCTATTTCATTTTCTGTCTTTCTATTCCATGCTTTCACATTTTCAAATAGCTTGAAGAAAGAAAACAATGTGTTCTCATTTTTAGTGTTAAAAATGGCAAGGCTTTGATGAGAGTTATTTTAAATTTAAAAGTCTATGTTGCCTACTTTTGCATACAAGTAGGGGCGGACACATCTTGAAACCTGCTAGGTAGGGTGTTCAAGTTTAGGTCTAGATCGAAAAAATCGATCAAACCGACGAGCCGTTGCATCATCTTGAAACCTGATAATGCGATGCTAATTTCAGAAAAAAATCCTTTACATGTTTCCTTTCAAAATTTTGGGAGTCCGCAAACTCTGAATTGTGAATTCACGGGGTCCTTTCCTTTGAAAATCGTGATTTGAAGGTAAATTTTCGAATTTGAAAGCATTCTCAAACTTATAGTTCTGAGAAATGGTGAATTGGATTCAAATATATAACTTGAAAGGAAATATTTTGGAAACATATTAAGAAGAATATGAGTTCAATAAAAAGTACATATGAATTTTGGGAACAACCCCAATTCTTGAAGCCACGAAAAAATCTGATCACAATTAGGGATTCTCTTAATCTAAAACATATTGAGACGTTCATTCTGTAATACCTGGTAATAAATCATGCAAAGAATTGGTGATGAATCTGAGAATACTCGATAATAAATCTGACAAAGACTTTCCTTTGGCGACGAAGCAAATCACGGAGAAGAAATCAGCGAAGACTTGTGATTTGAGCAATGAAGAAAGTCTAAAAAAATAAGCGATAGACGCGTGTAAGCTTACGTGTCAAAGAATCCCACCCTTTAAAAGTGCCACATGTCAAAAATCCGCTCCATTTCTCAGATAAATTGTATTGAAAATAACTTCAACCAAACATCATAAATCAAAATAGATGATTTAAATTAGGACGAGTGAGTACTCTTTTAGTGGAATCTAAGATTATATATTCAATTAAATATCATCAAGAATTAAGAGAAGGTTTAGAAGTGTGCATTTATTCAAAAATATGTCATGACTAGTATCACACCTGTGTGTTGCACAAGCCATATTTACGTTACTAAACTAAGATCATTTTTTAATGATAGAAAATGATATCTAAAAGAATATAGATATTTTATAATTTTAAGGTACACAAGTTTTTTACTTAAAAATTTCGAAAGACTTTTTTATAAACTACATTATTCGAATAATTTGTAGGAACATTGTTTTCATTGCATATCAGAATCTTCAAACCACTATGATTTGTAACTCTTGAAACTGCAACATACAGTTTATTCATAACTTACCTTTATTATTATTATTATTATTATTATTATTATTATATTATTATTATTATTGTTATTATTATTATTACATTTATATTTATGATTATTATTGTTGTTGTTGTTATTGGTGTTGTTTCACATGTTACATTTTTTATTATACACAATACCAAATTTTATAAGGTATGAAATTATTTTATTAATAATTAATAATTAAAGTTCCATACGTTACCTTTTTTATAGCACGGTACTAAAAATATATGGTATGAAATTACCTTATTAATAATTTATAATTAACAATTAAACAAAGCCAACACTTTAATTTATTATATACACGGTAATAGCACAAAACCAACTTACCTTTATTATTATTACTACGTTTATTATTATGATTATTATTATTAGAATACGTACGGTACCATATTATTACCATAATATTATTATTATTCTTTCACATGTTACCTTTTTTTCTTATACACAGAACCAAAAAGTATAAGGTATGAAATTACCTTACTAATAATTTTTCGAAACACCTTATTAATAATTATTAATTAATGTTCACATGTTACTTTTTTATTACAAGGTACCAAAAATTATAAGGTATACAATTACCTTATTAATAATTAATAATTAATAATTATTTTTATAGCTTATAATCTTGCTAAAAAAATATAATGCATGAGAATACACATTTTTCATCCAACTCAACACTTTCATTTTTTTATATGTGGTAAGAACACAAAACTAACTTACCTTTATTATTATTATTATTATTATTATTATTATTATTATTATTATTATTATTATTATTACGTTTATTATTATGATTATTATTATACGGTACCATATTATTATTCTTTTTTCATATGTTACCCAGGGCCGGTCCTGATGATTCATCAGCCTGGGCCGAAACAGAAAAAAGACCCTAAAAGTCTTATCTTTAATGGTCTAAATAATTCACATATGTAAACTAATTATATTTGAATTATAATTAAAGCAATATTATTAGAAGAAAAAAATAAATGACAAAATTATAATATTATAATTACATACCGTAAAAGCTAGCCGAGGATTCGAGAAGTTCTCCTTGCATTCTTGAGAGGAAATTGGTTGATCACATCTTCACAGTCTATGCTCTCTAAGATTTCATTCTCGATAGCTATTACCGCCAATCCACTAAGTCTTTGTTGGGAGATTGTAGACTGTAAGTAATGTTAGACAAATGTGCAACTCTAGAGGGGAGGTGAATAGAGTTGTTTTCAAGAATGTGCGTTTTTCGCGTGTGTGAAATAATAAAATCGCAGGAATAAATAAAGAGAGTAAGGGAAAGAAGAACACCGAGATTTATACTGGTTCACCACCTCGTGGCTAGTCCAGTCCTCCGAGAGACTCTCTCGAAAGTCCTACTAATCTTCAAGCTTCAACGGGAGCTTGAAAAACCGGTACAACTTGAGAACTTGAATCACACAAGCCTCACTTTCTTACAACAACAAGACTTGAGTCACACAAGTCTTAAGAACAATACTCAAAAGAGATTGAGTTTACAATACAAGAATGAAAGCTCACACAATTGAGCAAAGTAGTGTTGAAAAATTAAAGCTCTATGGATGACAACTTCTTTAGCACTCAAAGAAAATATTTCTAACTCTCAAAAATAATATTTTGATGAGGAAGATGGAAGCAAAAATTGAATATTGATCAATGAAGATATTGGAGTGCAAGAGATGTGATTGGAAATGAAGGAGAATGGGGGATTAAATAGGCTGAGAAGAAAAAAAAAAGATCCGTTGGAGCCACTGAAAACAACTAAGAATAAGCACCAGACAGAATTAATCGATTAAATTAGGGACTTTAATCGATTAAAGTGTACAGAAGCGAAAAGGCTTGAATGCAAAGGTGGAATTAATCGATTAAAAAAGAGAGAAAAATCGATTACCTTGCTCTGTTTAAACTAATCGATTAAATGGACAAATTTAATCGATTAAGTCTATTGGCCTGAGAAATCCAGCGCTGAGAAATTGGATCTAATCGATTATTTTAGATAATTTAATCGATTAAAGTGAAAATAATGTGAAAAAATGAAGGGCCCAAGCCAAGTGCGTTTGGAAGCCTTTGGCTTCTAACTCGTTGTTTGGGACAACGGGAATATTAACGGACGCTCCTCCTATTCAATGAATTTGATTAAGGGAGAGAAAAAGAGTCCAAAAATTATTTTGTGTGTCAAACAATGTACACGAAAAATATTTAAATTATATTTTTCTTACCAAAAACAATTGTGTAATCTTAAAAAAATATTTAAAAGAAATTTTGACACACTTATTTTGAAACTGACTCACTAAAATATTTTAGACAGAGGAAAAGTAATTTTTCAACTGACTCAAAAATAATTATTTTTATCCCTCAGAAATTAATTCGTTTGTGCAGAAAAAAATGTCATCCTTACAAAGATTCCTAGACTTAAAAAATGAAAAAGTCTTTGGAGTCTTCACTTCACTTCAAAAAAATCTGCGTAGGGGTGATCGTCAATTTTTATCGCCGTAAACTTCTTGATACCCTTCTTTGCTTTTCTCGATACGAAAATAAATTTTCGATCAACTTGAAATTAATCATCCTGTTTGTCATTCATCAAAACAAAAAAAATATTCCAGAAGAAATAGTAAAGGGGTTTGAACTCATGTCCAACAAGTTCCCCCTTTTTGATAATGACAAACATAGTTGACAAAGAGCAAAGTAAGATTTCAAAAAAATTACTTCCTTTTCAGAATACTTTCCCCTGCAAGGTTAGAGAAGTGCAGTAAAAAATAAACGGAGTAATAAGCGGAAAAACGATTTTAAAAAATTTCTCAACTATCCTTCCTTCCCCCTTTTGGCATTATCAACCGATAACCTTCCACCTTAAACAATGCCGGGATATAGAAGGAAAGAAAAAAATGGCAAGAGTTTTCTTTAAAAGAGAACTCTTAGTAAAATGCCACAAAGGGACAATATGTTTTAAACAAGAACAATATTGCCAACCCAACAATGATATCAATACACAATTAAAATATCAACTAGCATCATTGAAAGGAACATCATCATCCACCAAAAGAGTCATAATACCATTAGAAAATAACAATGTATCATAGTGAGTCAATATGGAAAGAAAATAATAATCAAAGAGAGTTCGCCGGACGAGCTCCTCCGCCAAAGCTGTGACGCGGGCCACGGTAGGAGCGAGATTGCTCAAGACGAGTCATCCTCTCGTTGAGCTGGCGAACGTCATCTCGGATGCACGTGAGAGTATCGAAGATCCTCTTCACCCAAGAAGGTTCCGGTGCTTCTTCTCTTGGACGAGTCCTCCGTTGACGAGTGACGCGCTCCGTGGCTCGACTTCCTCCGGCTCGAGATGACTCAGCTTGAGTCTCGTTTTGGCTCTCTTCTTATTCTTCTGCGACTATCAGGTCCAGATTTGGTGCAGCATCGCCCTCCTCTCGATACACGATTCGGGAAAACTTGGCTTCAGTGATGAAACACGTCTTCTTGACCGGCACCTGAGTGTCCCGAGTAAAGTCTATTTTGCAATGAGCAAGAATATGCATAATGGGGATGGCAAAACGGAGATGGGAAAAAACGAGTGCCATCGCTAAGTGCAACGATAAAGAAGTGAACCCAATCAAATTTGACATCGTTCAACATGACGTGAAACAAACGAATATCGTCCTTGTTGACAATGCCATGGTTCGAATCACGGGGCAACAAAACATAGGAGAAGATGTATTGTTGGACGCGTTGAATTAAAGTGAGATTAATGACACTCGG